TATAGTAATTTATATATAGAACTGCATCACGTTTCACTATGATCATTCTTCAGTTGACTGGAGAATCGTCAATTAAAAGATTACTCTTTCCTTTTTCTATATTTGCAATTACTACTGCACTATCTGTATATATTCTGACTTTCTTTTTACTAGGTGTTACAAGAATTGCTAATCAGATTGCCATTAATTCTGGTTTGGTTGATGAAGACCAATTCTCTGTCTTGGCAAAGCCTTCTTTAATTATTACAATTCTGTTAGAATAGATTTTTATTTTTATTATAAATTTAAAATTATTAGAGCTTAAAGTTACTATATAATTAAAAATTTGGCATTTAAGGATAGGGTGTATAAATTTCTAATTTTATATAAAATAGATTGTAGATTAACTTTGTGTAATCAATTTTATATGATATCATATGATTTATATATAAACATTATATAATTTGACCAATCAGAATTAACAATTTCTTGTGTAATTCCAGAAAAACATAGAGGTTTCCCGGAAAACTTTGGTAATATATGAAGTAGAATTTTTTTAAATAAAACAAGTTTTGAAACTATCATTACTATAAATAAAAATTCTTGTCTGCATGTTATGAAATTTTGGTAAAAATTTATTAAAGTATTAAAAAGTTTTGCTTGTAGTGAATTTTTATTTCCTATATAAAAATCTGTAATACTATGTAGATCATATGGGGTGCATAAAACTAAAACACAGCTTATGTTTTTTTTTAAATTTTGAGAAAATCATATTTAAAATTTTGGATAACAATAATAATGACAATCTATTATTAGTATAACCTGTTGGATCGACATAAATTAGCCAATTACACTGATGTATTTCTATGACTCTGCAGCAAGAATCGACAATCGGATTTCTAAATTCTAATTTTAGATCACGGCTAACCATATACGAGATTTAAAAAAGAAGATATTGACAAAAATTTTATTATGTAAATCAATATTTTAAATATCAAATTATCTAGAAGAGTACCTACTTTATATGACTGTATGGTTAACTTATTTTTGCAAAAAATGCCATAAGCCGTGTTTTAGTTTTACGCACTCTATATAAAAAAATGATCTATATAGACCCTACCTTTAATATATAAAAAAATTGTTTTTATAGATTTTAACTAATCAGAATTTTGTTACACAAAAAATAGCCAATCAGATTTGAGTATAAATCTCAAAATTTGACGCTTTTAAAAAAAATTAGATGTTTCTTGCTATCTAATACTATATAAAAAAAAATATATTTGTTTAAATAACTCATGATTTGTCTATTAATTGATGATTTGCCAGTCAATCAGAGAAGATCTAGTAAAATATGCTTATAAAAATTTGCAGATCTTCTCTAGTTAACTGGTAAATCACCAATTAATATATTTATATTCAAACTAATTTATAAACTTAAGATTGAATCCAAACCAAACTTATAATTAAGTTTGAGTTTGTTTTAAAGTTTGAAATTAGTAAAATTTAGAGTTTAAATCCAATTTGATTCCAAACTAGATCTGAACCAGATCTAGAAGCATTACAATAAAGCTTTTGCCATTATATTTTAATGTTTAATAAAATTATTGAACAATTGGACATATGTCCAATTGACAAATTAAACATACTGTATGTCCAATAATTTTATTATTTTGTCCAATATCTAAAGGTCCAAAAAATTATTTGGATATTTGAACTATACTGTATCCAAATGTTCAAATGTCTTGGACATTGTCCAATGCAACCCTGGCTGTGATTACTGTGGCTTGTGTAACTGCACTTTGGGAATCGCCCACTAATTAATAATCAAAACAATGAATAAGGCGGTTTTTTAAAAAACGCATGATTTTTACATTACACCTGATCGGGCCGACTCATGGTATAGATGTGATTTTATAAACTGTTTTTGATTATTTGTCACACCACTTAGAATTTAGAGTTAGTGCTGCCCAAAATTATGTTTAATGCCGGCCGAGTTTTTATTGGGTGTGACAATTAAGCAAAACCGAAAGATTATCAGAAAGTTTTGCATTACATTATCGTTATTGGACGGAACCGAACCCCTTTTAAGTTCTGCACGCTCACATTGAACTATCTAAAAAATATATGATCCTTGATTTTTTTTACAAGTTCAAATTCGCACAATGTCCGACCTTATTCCTTATATAATATGGGAAAAGGTAAAGCCTAGGGGATATTTATTTGTATTTTAGGACATTCTCATTAGTAATTTTTATCTTCGGAAAAAAGCAAGAAGGTTATTTATGTGCCCAACATTGTATTAATTCCCTTCTTCAAGGTAATTATTTTAGTACTATTTTCGTGGTCTTTCTAGGTAAATTTCCTGATTTAGGATTTATTCGTTCAACAGGAGAGTACTTTACAGCAGTCGATTTGAGTGAAATCGCTAAAAACTTGGATCAGGCTGAACAGGCTGCCCTACAAGAGGGGAACGAACAGATACCAACCGAATTGTTAAGGGAAAATGTATCGACACAAAAGAGTCAAAACATGGATGATTCTGGTAAATTTATAGTTATCACAACTATATTTCACCGATTTCATTCTTGTTCTAAAAGATATTCTTTCAATTTTTTGAAGGATTCTTTTCAGTACAAGTAGGTATTCATGATTCCTATGAGGCATTGTATTAAAATATTAATTAACGTTCACAAATCCAAAGGTCGTATCATAATATATGTGCAAAATTTATTATTATTTTTTTTTATCCGTCGTAGGTATTGAGTCATGCATTGAAAGTGTGGAGCCTCGGTAAGTTAAAAAATATTGAGCTTAATTTATACCAATTCGTTTACCAATAAATAAATAACAATGTACAGAACTTGTACCAATTGGTTCGGAAGAAGGCCGTGCTTCAAAGGAGATTCCAGAGTATTTAAAACAAATGCTTGTTTTCCTATCTATTTGTAATACGGTTAGAATGTGCAATACTTTACGTTCTTTAATTTAGGGAAGAAGAAGCTTATATATGCAATCTTCGCGAACACTGGTAAAAAACCTGATATCCTTTTATCTCTTAATCGTCACCATATTAGGAAACCTTATATATCATTTATATTGATAGTTCCTATATGTCTAATTTTGGCATTTTTATAAATAAATTTAAGGTTTACTCTTCGTAGATTCGGCGGAATAAAATCAAGATGGTATAATTTGGATTCTCTATTACATGGACCTGAATGGATTAGTCAGATTTATTTAGGGATGCTACTCAATCAATTGGAAACTGGTGGTAAGAAAATTATTGCTCAAAAATCCCTCGATCACTATCAAGATCGCAGGGAGTTATTACTTATTAACTATTGATGAGGTATCATAAATTCAATTACTATTAAACGTTGAAATTATTAAGGTTACAGTATTTTCGTGGTGAGAGGTATACTTCCAACAAGCCAGGCTGATGAATACGCTATATCACACCCAGATCCTATTGTACAACTTTCGAAGGGTCAAAATTCTTATGACAGTGACTTAGATATGGCAATTGCGGCAAGTCTTAAAAGCGCTGAAACAACCGGCCGAGCAGAGAATTTAAATAACATCCATCACCAAGATCTTAATTCAAAAAGCACAGCTAATGAACTGTCCATTGATGATTTGCGCGCGAAAAGGCTAGCAAAATTCGAACATAAGAGTGTTTAGTATTTAGTTGCGCAGATATATATTCGTCAAATTATAAAGTCAATTCTTAAATTATGTATAATCTGTTATAGACGGATAAACAGAAATATTCTCACTTATCTTATATAAGTATATATAATTCGTCAATTGTTTGGTCTGTTAAAAATAATCATTGTCAATATCAAACGATAATTTATCGGAATTATGAATCGCTGCTGACAAAATCAGCGACTTAAATTGCTGGGATCATTTTTATATTAATTTCACAGATGCATATTTCTCATCCTCTCAATGAACACAAATGACTTTTTATGAAAAATTTCTTTACCTTCAATGAAACGGATCCAATGAACCACCCCTATATACCAGTGTTGTTACTGGTCTTAAGTTCAATATTTTTTTATTAACCTTAGCCTTTGATTCGCCTTAGCCTAAAGTCCAATTGGCTTTCTCCAACCGTTCAATTCAGAAAAGATTTATTATTAAACTAAAGCTCTACACTTAAAGTGAATCTGTATTTAAAGAGTAATTATGAATTGGTGCAGCTGCCATCGAACTTTTTTTGTAACAAAAAATTAATTCCGGCCAAAATTAATTAATAATTTTAACTTAAATTACTTTAATGTTAATGGAGGCAAAATTATTGCGTTAATATTAACCGCTGAAAGCTAAATAATGTGCTCAGAGAATGGTACTTGTGACTTTGACCTCATACCGGTTGAAAAGTCCGTTCCATATATTTCGAAAAAGATTGGTTCAGGTGACTGGCTTGAATTGGAGGAGATTGAATATATTGATCCAAAGTTAAACGTTGCAAGGAAATGGGAAGTGTGCCGAAGAAAAACGGAGTCTAAGCATGACGTTGACGGTAAAGTTGATGTTTCAACGTTTTTACTTCACTTAATTTCGTTCGTTAATAATTTATATTTCAATAGCGGTTGATATTCATGCAGTAATTAAGAACGTAAATTCTCCTCTAATAATTTTGGTGGTGCAATATCGACCACCTATTGGAAAATATTGTATTGAATTTCCTTCAGGTATTATAAAGTGTAATCATCAATTTGTAATCATTTTATTCACATCAAATGTTCTTCCAAAGGGTTAATCGACGCAGGAGAATCAATCGAAGCAGCAGCGCTTCGTGAGCTTCGTGAAGAAACAGGCTATACAGGTAAGATACAAAGTATATCAGATCCCATATGTTACGAACCGGGTTTGACAACTTCCATGACAAGAGTTGTTGACGTTGAAGTAAATATATTTAAGTTGTAATCATCAATTGTCTGTCTTGTTACATATTAATCTATTTATTCTTTTTTGTGTAAAAGATCAATTTAACGTCTGTTGATAATGTTTCTCCTACACAAAAACTGGATGATGAC